AGCTTCCTTCAGCCTTCTTCTTCTTCTTCTTTGAATCTGAGATCGTAACCCATTTTTCAACTAATTTCCATAGCCCATGAGATTTGAAGATCGTCACCATCTTGATTCTCCAGAACTCGTAGTTCTCACCAGAGAAGATTGGAGTTCTCATCTTAGAACTTCCAGATCCAGCCATCTCTTAGCTTAGATGTTACGAACACAAATCAAAATCGGGTTATATGGAGTTCCAGCAACTTCACCTGAATCGGAAAAAGCTCGAGTGTAGCTCGATTGCTTCAACGTCTATGACGTTAGCTTCACAGTTTATGCCCAGATCTCAAATGATCGAACCTGGCTCTGAGACCATGATGAAGTTTGAATAAGTGTTTGTTTATTAAAGGAAGAAGAAGAAATTAAAGCACAGATAAAAATGGAGAATGATTTGATGCTTTTGCTCTTTGCTAAATTTTCAAAGAGAATGTCCTCTCTTCTATTTCTTGTCTCACATTCTCTGTGCATAACGGTTGGAATACATATGGATTCTCACTGCAGAAAACAGAAAGGATCTCAACCACTCATCCAGCTAGGCTCAAAGATCTTTACACATGTCACTTAGACACAATTACAATATGAGCCCTACACTTGGTAAAATTACTAAAGTGAATACACAACTAAATACAAGGCTTATTCATTCTAAAATCATATTAGCTCAATGCTTATACACTAACAGTTACCAACTGAGTGATGCCCTACCACAAAAGGCTTGGTTGCAGTCATTAGTATGGAATGTTCTAAGGAAACTCCACAGTTATTGTGAATGAGAATACAAGACTTTGCTCGCCCCTAAAGTGGGGTTGATGCTAATCTTTCATTGATTGTCATTAGATTAATTTGGTTCAATTAATTTAGGACAGAGATCTTAACATTTAAACTAATGTAACGGCAATTAATGGAGGAGTGTGCATCACACCTTCACTTTATGGGAAGAGCAAAAATGCACACTAGACTTTATATTAATTTTAAAATTTAATTAGGGTTTAGGGTTTTGCTCCAAGGGTTGGAGCAAGTTAGAGTAAGTTTAAAACCTAAAATTTGAGTTTTACTCCAAAGGTTAGAGTAGGTCCAAGGGGGAGAGGGTGTGCTTAACCTCGCAATAGGCTAGCAATAATGTGGTTCAAATTCGCTTTAGGCGAGAGTCAAACCTAAGACCTCTCACTTACAAGTAAAGAGGAATATCACTAGACCGTAGTACTAAGTGGCAATAGTACTACGACAATACATACGATATTATCTACATTAAGGGGTGGGGGAGTAGGCCAAGCCTCACAAAGCACTAGCCATAATAATTTGGTTCAAATTCGTCCTTGGTAAGAATCAAACCTAAGACTTGTCACTTACAAGTGAAGAGGAATGCCACTAGATCGTAGTTCTAAAGGGTTAGTTTAGTGTTGTTGTGCTTTTTAAATAGTTGTTTCTATTGTGCTTTAAGAATAATCAGCTCTAAAGTAAAGCAGTTGAGCTTTTGGTAAACTATATTTTTAAAAGTGTTGCAAGTATGAAATCATTATCATGGCCTTCGGTAAATATTATTATAAAAGTGTTGTACTAATGTATACTGACAAAAATAGACATGATTTTAAATGTGCTTTTGACTAATTCCTTTTTTTTCTTTTCTTTTTTTCTTTTTAAAGACTTTCACTTGTTACTAATTTTTTTCTTTAAAATTATCTTAACCTTGGCATTGCCGAAAGAAAAAATAAAAATAAAACAACTATCTTTTAATTGTATCAGTGTTCTAAAAATTCTCATCTAGCTCCGTATAGGCTCTAGGCCCGGCCACCGTCCCGATTAATCCCTAGGTGTTTGAAAATTATGAACGCTTAGGCACTCAGCTAGCCTGTATCTGTCTAGGTACAACTCTCACTTATACAAAAAATAGATAACTTTCATTTTGTATTTTATTTTTTCAATAAACTATAAAACAAAAAACTTGTTGAATAATTGGATAAACACTCATTATATGATTTTCCCCATGTTTTCGGCACATGCCATCTAGAAGTATATATCAACAACATTGACGGTTGAATTGTTGAAACTAATTTTGCAAACAACAAAAATCATCGAAGGAATTGAATATGCCCAAATTTCCCTCACGCTAGCCCGACAAAACATTTAATTTTAGTCGACGAACTGTAAACCCTAAATCATAGAATATACCTTTACCTGATGAAACTTGGAAGGATTCAGTGCACAAAATGTGGCATTTTACTCGCCAACTTTTTCTCTTGGCCAAAAACTTTGCCCAACGAAGAAAAGTTTGCTCGTCGAACGATGTTTGTCTGGTAAAGGGCTTTGAAAAACCAAAACATTGACCACTATTTCCGACAAAAGTTAATTCGTCAAGCGAAATTCGTCGAACAAATGATAATTTTTAGAAGAGATTGTTATGTTTTTACAGAACTACTATGCTGCATATAGCTAGAGTGCCCTGAAATACAAGCAACAATATGACAAAAGATTACTTCAAAGTTAAAGTAAAAATGACTAACTACCAACTTATAACTAATAAATTAAAATGACTAACTTCATTGGAAACAATAGATCAATATTTATCAAACCCATGAGTCATTTTATAGAACAAAACATCACCACGCAAGAAAAAGAGAAAAAGCACACCCACAAAAAAAAATGAATTCTTTAATACAAAAACCATAAAATCCAAGGAAGCAGATTGTCTACCCTCCTTTTACCATGCCCTTCCCATCCCCTCCTATTTACGTGGTCACGGTTAAGTCAAGTCAACATGTCTTATTATCTCTATAAAAAATTAATATAAAATGTTGAAGTGGTTTAACCGTGACCGCACAGTGTAGGACGGGATGGAAAGGGCATACAATCTACCTCCAAAATCCAAAGCTTGAGTTCGTACCTTTGAAGAGTTCAAAGAGATTGACTGAGAAATATGCAGGTGAGGTTGTGCAAGTTCAGGGATTAGGGCTAGGGTTTTCCGTATATATAACAGAGTGTAAGAAAATAGGGGTAGATGAAGTCATCTAGAAAAATAGAATGGGTACTGTAGGTATAGAGAAACTTTCATTAGTCTTCTTTTTAAATTAGCTTTGGAAGCAACCCAACAATGGATTTTAAAAACTACTATAAGAAGGCCCAAACTTTAAAGATAAGCAAGCTTATAAATATTTACCAAACAAATTTTAGTACTTTACTTTAAAACGGAGCAAATTTTAGGAAAAAAAAACAATTCCAAACGGAAACTAACTGGCATAGTTTGATATTTTTTTTTTAATAATAAATCTGAAAACATTTGAGACTCTTTGGTTGAACAATAACATTTCGTGAATAACCCCAAACCAACGTGCTAGTGTATGGGTAACCCTCCATTATATCTGCAAATCATACAGAGGGATGGGCAATGGTTATGCGGACGGGTAACCGTGGTTAATTTATCCATAACCATTTATGCTCATACCCGCATAACCATTTACCAGTTAGGTAATTGCTTAAACGGTTATACTCATACCCATAACCGTTTATAAACGGTTAACCATACTCATAACCGCATACCCATTTAACCATAACCGTTTAATACTCGTTTACCCATTTATCATTTTTTAACCCGTTTATCTTTTTTTTTTTTACCATTACCATTTTTCACCCGTCTACATATTTTTAACAACTTGAAAATAAAAAAAAATTTGTCATATTTTTTTTTTGACAATTAAACACCGTTATAGGTACATTCATCATACATTTCCATATTTTAATTTTTTAAGTTCTTATACCATTATAATAATTGAAATAATAGTTTACGGACTATATTTTTAACTGTTACCAATGAAGGTAAATATAATATTTGCTAAGTATTATTGGGTTACCAAAATTGTTTAGAAGACATTTTTGTCAAAGCATTTATGTCAATTTCATGGTTACCCGCAAGAAATTTAAATTAATTTGGCCAATTCCTTGATGATGAGAATCATCATTCCTGTAGTAGTATTATTGAGAAAATGATCGATGAATTCCTTGCTAATTTATTGGGTGCTAAGTATTATTGGATCGAGAATATGGTTTATGTTAGTTTTACATATATAAAATAAATGGGTAAACGGTTACCCGTTTATAACCGTGGTTAATACCCATAACCGTCCATTTAAATTTCGCGGGTAAACGGTTATATCCATAACCATTTATTTATCTAAACGGGTACCTATAACCATAACCGTTTAATTTACATGGGCGGGTAACTACGGTTACCCATAACCAATGGGTATTTGCCCATCCCTATACAGAACTAGAGGCACGTGACAGGGATTTATAAATTCTTCTTTGGAATAAGTTGCTCTTATTGTGGAGCAAAAAATAATCTCACAAATCATGAAGGTCACACGTGGATTTTTGGACAAGAAATATGAGATTACTCTCGAGGCACATCAAAATTCTCAATCCCATGTAATAGACAATAATAGTTCAATCTATGAAGAGTCAAAAGTGATCAATACAGTATTTATTCAAATCCCTCTCATCACTTTCCATCAATCCCTTATTGATTTTATTCAAAAAGTAACTCCCAAAACTTCCTATTTAATTTAGGAATAATTGTCATGTTGATTGCAAAATATTATTTCACATAATATCTTGCAATTATTCACCCAATTACACCATCTATGGCCGTCCATTCTCCACCAATAGGGCCGTCCACCCTCCTATAAATACCCCACTTATCCCACTAAAATGCTAAGCCATTTTCTACCCACAAACTCCTAAACACATTCTTTTCAAAATTCTAACTTTGGTATCGGAGATTCTTCGATCAAGCCCCCCCCATTCATCGCAAGCACGTAAGGTTTTTGGCCTTAATCGAATGTGGTATTATTTTGCAGGTGCATTTTCGTCAAATGAAGAGATGGCGAAAATTTACATTCACACTTATTACATGTTTTAGTAATGCATATAGTGTAATTTTAATCCCTACTATCCATAATTATGTGTTAATACCTGTGAAATTAATTCTCAACATTGGGTCATTGAAATATATCAAAAGAGTTCGAAAATATTGATCAAGGTTATGCCACTTACTGCAATATATTCTTTGTTCACCAAAGTGGCATAAGTACATAAATATAGTATATATTTTGCATCCATTTATTTGGATAAAGGGATTAATTAATTAATTAATCAATTGGTTTTCATATTATGAAAACCAATTGACACCCATATCCTTAACAGATCCTGGAGAAATTTCGTCCAACACTTTCTCTTGGCCCTTGGGGTAATATATTCCAGTCTTCTCATGGGGAACCCATATATTGTTATCATTATTTTCTCCCATTTGGTTCTTGTTCTTCGCTTCATCACCTTCAGACTTCACCGTCTCACGTACCATATCTGCAGAAGAGCTTTGCTTATGAAAACCTTTTCGACTCATTGGCCTGCACAAGTACGTACACACACACACACACATATATATGTTAGACAATAAAGTTGAGCTAGCTAGAGCTTGATTAAACAATATATTGTAGAAATCCTCTGTGAGTTTATTTTTTGAATCTTCATAAAGTGTGTTGGTACGTTACAAATATTTTCAAAAATTAAATCAAGCAAAATTTTGGATCTCGATCTCCACTCTTAGCTTAGCAGAATTGAGTTAAATGATGGATTTGTCTCCGTTGATATCAGACCAAACAACTTGATTGCATATCATATCGAATTTAACCACATGTACTCCACATCAAGCAACATACATATATATATTTATATTCAAATGCAGTAGTCAGTACTTGACTCAATCTACTTGACTCAATCGAATCAAGCCACACACGAGAAGACACGCATGTGGTGAGTATGTACGAATGATCACATCGTAAGTGTTGCATCTATTATATTTAACGGATTTAGATCCTAAGGATCAACACACGTGAACCGTTGATCAAAAATCGTGCGGTCATAATTTTTTCATATTTTATATTTTTCAAGCAAAATAAGGCTGCTTTACTTTTAAAAATATAAAAAAATATTTAATTAAAACTGCACGATTTTTAATTAACGGTCCACGTGTGTTGATCCCTATGATCCCCATGGAAAGAATCCGGCGAGAATCCAAATCCATATTTAACATATCACATGTCAGACGATATAACGATCGGACAGTTAATACTAGAGGAATGCTTACTTGAAAACCACGGAGTTAATGGTCTGTGCTCCTCTTGCCAAAACCGTAGCCATTTATTTCTCACTCTCCCTCTCTCTCTCTCTCTCTTTGAAGGATATGCAGTTGCCTGTTGTATCTTCGTAGCATTGGTATGCAGTTGATTTATATACAAGGATTGAAGGGAAGATTAGATCGATGAAAAGATAAATAAAATAAAAAATAAAAATAAAAAGGAATAGGAGGAGGATAACAGCATACCATTATCATGGATCATATCCATTTCTCTCTTCCCAATGGAGAATTTTGTCATGGCCGTATGGGACCATTTGAGCATGTACGTCACTACCTATAGTTGAAGATTGTTTCTGGATCATGAAAGATGGTTGATCATTAATGGAGCTACGTCGTCAACCATCGATTTTTTATACACCTAATTCTCAACCGGCTTAATTATTTTTTAGACTACTTTTACAAATAACGTGTGTGTGGGTTAATATTTGACAATGGGTTTTGCAAGTGACTAAGATTCAAAGACGTCAAAATGAGTGGAGACTGGCCCGAGGCCCAGTCGACTAGCCTAGAACAAATTGGCGCCTCCTCAATTAAAATGTAGGCCACAAGCCTAGGAGTGAAGTAATACGTGATGGAGATCAACTCACTATCAGCAAAAAAACACTTTTTAGTGGCACTACAAGTAAAAAGATGATGACTCACTACCCCTGTAAACCCTCGGCCAAGAACAAAGCTAAACGCAGTCGGGCCAAATCATCTATAAAAGGGGAAACAAACACCAGAGACAAGGACACTCAACCAATCAAACTCAAAAACATACAAACTCTGCTCTCAAGCTAGTTCGTACCCAGAAAAGCTGAAACTCGCCCAAATTTAGTTCTTTTAGCTATATTTCCTGTAGAAAAGCTATATTTTGTCTGCTGTAAAAGCTATGCTACCTTTACTTAGTATTTTAGCATCAATTCCCTCGTGTAGAACTTAGTTATCTACCACCATTTTTAGCATACAAACCTCTGTGAACTCAAGGAGAAGTGGCTACAAGTAGTTCAACCTTACCCAACAAGGTGAAATCTTGCCCGAGTCTCTTTGTATGTACTTGTATTTGGTAGATCTATTGCTATATATGCTTTTCATTGTATATTCAAGTCATTATCAACTGTTTTCCACCTAAGAAATCCCATTTACGTTCGAATCTAGTTAAGTTAAGAAACCTGCTTTTATTGAGAACAAACCGTATTTGAGGACATGGTTAAAAGGGTCATGAACTCCCTTCGTCCTGAACATACAAGATTATGAACTAAAAGTCCTTGTTTACAAGGCAAGAAAAAGAATTTAATGCAGACTTAACCCATCTGTGACGATCCCTTGATAACAAGAAGTTTAAGTGACTTGGGGCGCAAGTAATCGACTTAAATCACACCTACTCAACATCTGTTATACTGAGATAACAGTGGCACGCCTAAATACTTGTTAGTTTTGGTTGTGAGCCTCAAGGCCTATAACAAAGACCCTACAAATGCACCTTTCAAACTAACTTCGGGCTCTTCTTGAAGTACACCAAGTAGCAAGAAGTTGCCCGACAACCAACCTCAACCCAAGTGCCAAAGCTCCCAGGGGAGTTGTGCCAAGGCCAAATCCTTGCCTGAACATAGTTTTGGCACACCTAGTGGGACCTTGAAAATTTTGTATGCCCAAAAGAAAGAATGAACGAACTTTCAGGTGCAATGTAGAGTACAAGCAATCACATTGTCCAAAAACATCAGACATGACCGATCACCCGGAAGACTTCCTCTTCTTAAAAAGTCCAGCTATTCTGGGAAGCCCGACTTCATCTGAAAAGTTAGGTGGGAAGGTTACCAATGAAGACTTGCAAGCCACCATGGTGCCAATATTGAAAGGTAAGGCGAAGATTTCTCTGGAGACCAGAGGAGAAGTGAGCAGACTCTGTTCCTTAACAGGAAGTTTGCAGATGAGGTTAAAGTTGGAGTATTCTTCGCCAAGGAATGATCAAACCAGATAAGTAATCAGGGAGACAAGCCTTGAGAATGAACCAATGATTCCCCTATTTCCTTTGCTCGAGGAAAAGAAGGGTAGGGAAAAAAAAAGGAAGAGCCTGGAACTAGTCGACCAAATGAGGAAGAGATCTTAGAAGCAGATTTGCCCGACCCTCTATTATTCCCATTAGATATTAGGGGGTAGATCGGCAAGATAAGAGGAAGTATGGGATGAATCAACAAGCTAAAGAGTCTAGTGGAAAATGTGTGTCCATAACTATCGGCAAACCCCCTCCTTATAGGCCACCACCGTTGGAAGGCTAGGTGAAGGCAGCCAGAGCCACAAAAGGAAACTTTCTCGAGTAATAAGCGAAGCTCGAAGTGGGGACCTCCCTATACCCCACATAACAATGCAGCTAACCAGCAACTTAGAAATAAGTTGGCTGAGCTGAGAATGATAGTGGTCCAGAATGCTCAACCTCAAGCTCGCTTGCTGTTCAGAATCACGTATTAAAAGCCCTACACTGAGTATATTAATGAGCATAACCCTTTTCCTATTAACTTTAAGAAGCCCGCATTCCCAACTTTCAGTGGGGAAGACTATAATGTGTCCTCTAGAGATCACATTTTCAAGTTCTCCAACTACTGTGTGGCGTTTGAAGACAATCATAACTACAAGTTAAGGTTGTTTGGAAACTCGTTGGTTGACTTAGCATCTCAGTGGTACTCTCTATTACCCCCCAATTCCATTGCCAACTGGGGGCAAATGGATATAGCTTTCCATGAGCAGTTTTATAAGGTGGAGCCAAAGATGACTATAAATGACTTAGTGAAGGTGAAATAATATGAGCATGAGTCTACAGAAGACTTCATGATGAGGTTTAAAAGGATGAGGATGAGATGCCAGTTCCCTATCAACCATGCATAACTTATATCCATTGCTCATAAGGCATTGAGGCTACCCTTAGGAAAGAAGTTCTATGATGTGCAATTCAATGAACTATAAGAGTTGGTAATTCCAGCCACAAAGTATGAGAAGTTGTTGATTAAGGAACATAAAGTAAATCACTCATCAAAGGTGCCTCATTTCTACAAGAACAAAGCTACAATTCACCAATTGGAGTTCGAAGGTTTAGAGCCTGGAGAAAGTGACAGCAATGGAAGAAAGGGGATAGAGTTGTGTGCAGCAGAGATGACCACTCCCTTCAAACCTTTAATGGTGAAGGGTTTGGTCCAGCCAGTCAAAGACTAAAAAATAGTGATTAATGACGGAGGATTCGTGCCTATGAAACCACTTAAGTACTAGATTTATTCTTTTGTTCTGACCAAGGCAGCAAAAATCTATGAAGAGTTGGTGAGGGCAAGAGTGATTGTGCCCGACATCACCATAAAGATGCCTAAACCAGAAGAGTTGAAAGGAAAGAAGTATTGCAAACTGCATTACACTTTTAACCATTCCCTAACCAACTATGTGCAGTTTAGAGATTGGATTCAAGATCTCCTAGTTAAGGGGAAGCTATTGCTAGAGAAACCTCAGGCAAATATGATGATAGACACGGATCCCTTTCCAGATGCCCCAATAAACATGATAAACCTTACTTGGGAAGTAAAAGGAGAAAGAAAGTAAGTTGCCAGACCTACAGAATGAGTTAAAGGGTTAGACCCAAAGCAGCCATAGTGAATGGACTGGTGTTATGTAGCAAATGCTAGTGTGAATATGAGCTAGAAGTACCAGTGTCAGGAGCTATCATTGATCAAGAGTTGATCAAAAGAAGAGAGAAAAAAGAGCAAGAGGCTCGCAGGAGTATCATGCTGGCAGCTGAGAAAGAAACCCCTTGAAATGTCTTCCAAAGGTTGGGAGGAGACTCTGAACCTAAAGGCTTGTCCGAAGTGTTGAAAAACTATGAAGCTTCCAAAGAAGTAGAGGACAAAAAAGTCAAATTGCTGAGATGGATGGATGTAAGACCTCCCCAGCCAAGTTATAATGGCAGTGTAAGGCAGGGATGGAAAGAAAGAACAATGAACCCAATTTCCCAATCACTAAGAAAGATTCAGCCCGACTCGGGCAAAAATGGTATATAGTGGGGAAAGATAAAAGACCTGTTAGGGAGATAGGGGCATCAATTATCAAAAGAGTTTAGAAGCAACACAAAGCCCACATGAACTCTATGAAAGTCCATATCACATCAAAAGTTTATGAGAATGTCAAGTTTGAAGGAATACCTCAAGGAAGAAGAAAGCAACTTCAGTGGATGAGTAAAAAGGAAATAGAAAGAGAATAGAAAAAGTGAAGGGGAAGAGGATCATATGCCGTCAAGCCTTCATCTAGGAAAGTATAGCATCTAGAAGATAGCACAAGAGGATGTGCTGATGATGTCAACACCAAGATGGAGTCTAGAACCAATCTGTTTTGGAACCATTTCACCTGAGAAAGGAATACCTTCACCTTTGTTGGTTGATACGTTTTGTGAAATCCCAAGGCAATTGCAAGACTTTGGTATAACCAAAGAGGATGAAGTGCACAAATTAATGTTGCCAAAAGATGCACAAGCCTGGATAGATGAGTTTGTGTACTAAATTAGAGGAAAGAAAGAAGATTTGCCTGGACCCAGCAACTTCCACATAAACATGACTTATGTTTTATATGTTGCGCTAAACCAGACCAGCTTACCACGTTAAAGGGTGATTACTTGGCAACAGAACCAATGATGACACTTGTTAATGTTGAAGAAGCTGGGAGAAATGAATCAGGTTAATGTACTTCCACTTAAACAAATGAAGAGATTGGGTAAAAATAAGGAAGATCTTATTCCTACTGACCTAACAGTTTGCAGTTTCTCTAGAGCCATCACCACAACACACGGGATATTGCCCCTGGAGGTTAACTTGAGGTCTAAGCAAATCATGCTAGCTTTCTTTATGGTGGATAATACCTTTACTTATGGAGCTTTGCTTGGCAAAGATAGGATTCACCAGAATATATCTGTGACATCCACCTTACATCAACAAGTTGTTGTCTGCCATGAGTCAGGAGCCATGGGACCAGGATTTTGGGAGATGATGGAGGCCGAATCACTGCCATTTTTCCCCACAACCAATGTTGCTGAAGCCAGTTTTTACAATCCCAGCGTTGAGATTTTGTAGTGCTTAGGAGTTGATGAGAATGGCAACCCGACTAAGGTGACAGCCCAAAAGCTTATGTCTCTCATTAGGGAGGAATAAGACAGACCTCACATTGTCCCAGCCCACCAACACCAAT